TTTCGGCCTTCTTTTCTCGCAACATAAAATTATTTTCTATTTCTATTTATATTGATAATTAACGCCAACTTTCTTATTACTATTATGGAATAATATATGGAGGATCCAATCGGTGGACACCACACGAGCACGTACGGGATACATATTGAGGGTTGATCCAGGTAGATAGGTGTGTTAAACTCACGGTGGCGGTTGTTGTCGACCTGTATGTGTGTCTGAGACATGGGGCGAAGCATTGCTCACCCAACGCCATCCTACGACAAAAATAGGATTCTTGTACATAATTGCAGCCTACATATATAAGTATTTGGTACTCGACATGTGGATAGGCTGGCTAGCTGAATAGTAAAAAATACAATCGAACATCTGTATATACTTTATGATACAACACTGTATACTGCATCACCGTATATTTGATCGCAAATTACCTATGTATGTACAAGAGATGGCTGGGTTCAAGTACTGAAAGAAACTGCCAAACCGTGGTAGTTCGGAGTATTCTCTCGCCTAACCTCTAAGTTGACGTATGCAGTAGTTACCTACATGTAGGTATATTAACTTGGGAATTAAACGTCTCGTGTAGGTACATAGATAGATGACGGGTATTCGCGGATTAGTCGGGAGGATTCATTCGTATTTTCCATCAATCCGCCTGGCTCACTAACATTCGATCGATACGTGATCTATTCGCGACATGTTCCTATGGTGGATGGGCTAGGTAGGCAGCGGAGTTTGAAGGATCGCGAATGCTTGGATAGACTAAGTATATGTGGATAGACGGCATACCGGCAATGCCCACCTGGATATACAATATTACGGGCACTTGCATACCTCGTCTTGAGGTCTGGTTGAGATTCTACGTGTATGTAAGTAGGTAGGTATCTACTGATGTGACATCTAAAGATGAAGATGAAAGATCTTTTATTCACCTACTTCCTTATTTAAATAGGCACCTAGGTTATATACCTGGGTAGGTAGGTATTTCCTGCATTTCCTTTCCTTTCCTGACATACCTTAAACAAACCTAGACTTAATTCGCTCCTCCATCAACCACCCAGACTAACGCATAGCATATATATAGGTGCTCCCTCCTCATCTACTCCCACCATGAGCGTTGCCCACTGAAACTCTGCAGGCACTATGATCTGCCACCCGTCCGCCCGCGAGAGCGCGACCGCCTAGTCCGCGAACCCGAAAACCTCGCTGATGGCTAGGACGTTCGTCCTAACGCCCAGCAACGCGACCCCGATAGCAACTAAATCCACCACCAACAACACCGTGGCCGCCATCATGAACCGCGGGTTAAACACGCGGTACAGCATGAGATGTCTTCGGAGGTGGCCCGCCCACGCCATGGTCGCGAGGCTCTGCACGGCATAATACGCGACCAGCGCGGCGAGCGCGCGGCTGGCAGTTTCCAGGACGCCGCGACGTTTAGGCGAGGTTTTCCACAGGGTTAGCAGGGGAGCCGAGGCCACGGCTAGGATTTGCCCGGCGAAGGTGTTGAGGGCGACGGCGAGGGGGCTCCAGGGGTAGCGCAGGGTGAGGAGGGGGATGAATGCGCTGTCCCATTGGATGGATGCTAGAACGGCTTGGTGGCCCGTCTTGAAGTAGTGGAAGTTGCCGAGTAACGCTAATGTTACGGGTCCGATGGTTTCGGCGGAGAGGTCGTTAAGGTCGATGATCTCAGCTAGGGAGAGTATTTGCCAGAGCATGATAGCGAGGGCGCCGCCGCCCATGGGTTTCGAGAGGAGGATGCAGGCGGCGGCGATGTTGATCGGAAGGAAGAGGTACCGCGCGCCGTTGGTATTGCCGAAACCGAGGACGGTGATCTGTGCTCTGCTGCTGTTGGGTGCGGTCGTGAAGATCTTGACGCAGGGAGGAGCCCAGATGAAAGCCGTAGTACCAGCTACAATGGCCACGGCTAGAACTAGCTGAGCGATGGAGACGTGGATGGTCTTTAGCATTTTCTCCGGAATCGAGGTAAGCCAGTTTGCATTATCCGCCGCATCGAGAGTCCAATATACGGCGGCGAGGAAAAGGCCGATTCGGAAGACGGTGCCGATCCACATGGGTGCGAGACCCTCGTATGACCGCGAGCTTTCTAGGTATGATTTGATGATAGATGGGAGGATGAGGAAGACGAGGAATGGGATAACCAATTGCCAGGGGGCTGAGGTTGATGAGTTGGCGGATGCGTAGTACGTCGACGTGCAGTATGGCATCTGCTCGTCTCTACACAGTTTCGAGAAAGACGCTACCCGTCCAAGGATAACAAACAAGATGGAGTGATAAACGCCTAGAGTTCGATCGCGTACTGATAGTAGTTGAAGCGAGGCGACTGCGCTTGCGAAACCAAATGTCGAGAGGAAGAATAAGGAGATTGAATCTTCCCAGATAGTGTACGAGTTAGATGCAAAGCCGATAGATTGACTTAACGTGAAGACGACGGATAGCCATCCCCAGGGTGTATTCGGTAGTAGGTTGAGTATGCGTATCCCACGGATCTGTAATAGAACACCAGTAACAGCGAGCATGCTTCCAATAGCTGTTGCGGCAGCTGCTAATATCCATTCGTCAGATCCGCTGATCTGAATAAATCCTAAGCTTAGAATTCCTATTATGCCACCGCTGAGAAGTCCAGCCTTGGCAAGCGACTTGCTGAAACTTTTGTAAGATGTACCCTCCGGCTCTGCCAATGAACTCTGCAATTCCAGGCTCCTCTCGGCGAAGTCCAGCTCGGCGTTGTCCAAAACTGCAAAGTCTTCGTCTTCATCCCTCGAAACGTAGAGTAATAATACGACCACTCCAAATGCCATGGTTACAATGCCCAGTATCATCTCCGGGACATCGAAGCTAGCCCATAGCTCCTTGCAGATTCTTAGCGTCTCCTGTTGATACGTAGCATAAGCATCGTATAGAGCTTGCCACGATCTAGATTTAGTATCTGCTTGGACGAGGGCCTCGGCATACTTCCAGAGTGTTGCAGGAGACCCAGGCTTCGTGCTCTGCTCGATACCACGGGCTTTGAAGTATGATGCTTGATATCTCCTGATTCCGGCCGACGTTATACTAGAGGCGGCTGCAAGAACATCCCAGGCAATGCCTTTAAGACCAATGAATGCTTCTTCGATCGGTCGACCAAGATTATTATATGGTATAGGAATACCTAAGAGAAGAGCCAAAGTTGGGACCAGATCGATCTGGTTTACGGGCCGGATCTTGGCCGTCGCTGGTGGAGTTTTGAACTCGGGTTGAGTACGACCGAACACTGGCTTCTTTGAATACATCCACAGCGCAGCCTCAACCTCATCATCACTTTCACCACCGTGATCGCCCTTGCTGTCCATTCCGTGATCGCCCATAACAACCAATAACGTATTATCATCGATTTCCTTCGTAAGGTTTTGAATGAAACCATTCATCTGCTGAAGCTTGGCAGTCATCGCAGCATGATTGGGTCCGTACCGATGGCCAGCATGGTCCACGCCAAGAAGATGCCCTATGAGAACGTCCCATTTTTGTGTCTGATCCGGCTTCAATAACGGGAATATGTGGTCCAAGACTCCATTGTCAACAGTATGTAAATCCCAAACATTAAAGCTGTCGTAGGCCTTGCTGATGTTGGGTTGGAAATAATCGGGGAATAGTGCGGTCCAAGTGTCGTCTCCTAGATGAACTATTCGCTTTCCTTGAGCCCTCCACTGTATTAATAAATTATCCTCCTCTATGGCCGTCCCCGCAAAACTGGAACCTATGTCCATAAACGTGGGCAAAGTGCCCGTGGTTAGACCTTTTAGTCTTTGAAGAGTAGAAGTCGGGGGGTCCGCAATAAATGGTCGTAGAAAAGCATTTCCTGGAGATTTAACGGAAGTTTCGTAGAGGAAAGGAAGCGCATTGTGGTAAACTTCAGCATGGTCGTCCTCCTCGACCGGGACGGTGAAATCGTATCGCAAAGCATCCACCAATACAATAACAGCTTTATCGAAGGTCTTGGGGTGCCAACAGCCACCATCCACGGTACCCTTCCCCTTCCATTCCAATAACGGTTCTATAGGTGGGTTGTCGCATTCTGACTGTTCATCTAAGACCAATCTGGTCAAGAGGAAACCGCTGGTAAAGAGTAATATGCCAATGATGTGGATGCAGAGCAGCCAGCCCCAAAAACCTATAGTCCAAAAACAGCGGCGCTCGAAAGCTTTCTTTCGATGAGCTTCGAGAGCTACACGCCGTGCATCATCAGATGTAGAAGATTCTGGTTTCTTCTGTGCAACATCCTCAAGCTCTTTCAATTGCTTTGCGCGGGCCCATTCTGCGGCAATGGCCTTGAATTCGTTCGCGGGGGTTTTTGATTTTGGGCGGGCATTGCGGGAGGGCATCGTGGGTCGGAGGGTAAGGTAGGTTAAGGTAATTAACGCGTCGTGCAAGGATCAATCGCGGCCATTGGCTTCCCTATAAAGCATCTATGGTGAAAATATGGACAAAAGGAAGGCTAGAAGAAAGTTGCAATTAGCTCAGCTTCAGTTGCAAAAAAGAATTAGGCATTGTAATGTCAAAACACGGCAAGTTTTGATAACACATATCTGAAGCTGTTAATGAGAAAAAGAACTTACCGGGTTACTTGTGGGGACCCCTAAAGTTTAGTGATACCTAAGTCTGCAGCTATGTAGGTACATAGCAGGGTGCATGGACGCAACTGTCCACTATGACGAACCCTAGCAACGCCAGGTGGATAACCTGGGTAACCTTATATCAGTTACATAAACGCTTCTCTAACCAATAAGACTTGTTACAAACTTTATAACAGGTAGCTTCCGTTACATGTTAGTTACATTTACATGTTACATGTACTTTTCTACTATGTATACCTACCTAGGTACCTACCTATGTATTGACAAAGACGATAACCAACAACTTAGGTAGCAACAATAGAAAATGTGGCAGGAGATTAAGTAATTACTAGCCATGCTGAAAATTACTGGGCTTCGCCTACTAATTACCTATCAACTTAACCTATGTACCTAATCAACATCATTCTACCCCTTCATCAGAAGTGGCTTCATCAGAAGTAAAGAAATTAAGCCGAAGTCGTCAACCTAAACTTCAACAAATCTCCCTCAACTATCTCGTCCTTTTTAGCTTCGAGCTCTTTCATATCCCACTTGGCATTGATAAATCTTCCATTCATCCAAGGTCGCCTCTCAGCTCCCAGCCATGCAAGCGTATCTGCCGGAAGCGCTAATTCGTCAGTCAAGAACCTATCTTGTAGGTCCTGGGGCATGTTAATCGCCAGGTCCGTCTTGATGCCGCCGGGATGGATGGAGTAGCAGACTAGGCCTTGGTCCGCGTACTCGGCTGCTATGTATTCCGCAAGTCGGCTAACAGCAAGCTTGGTAGATTGATAGGCCGAGGCGGTAGGAAGAACCGCAATGGCGCCCACGCTCGATGTGAGGATGTTGGTCTTGGTCTCGCTTGCGAGGAGCAGCGGGATGAAATATTTGCTGCATAGGAAGACTCCCTTCACGTTGACTTCATATGTGTACCACCAGTGATACGTGCTCGCTTCGGCAATGGGCGCCCAATCCTCGAGATACCCGGCGTTGTTAATTAAGATATCCAGCTTTCCTCCGAATTTGGCCGAAACAGCGTCTGCGGCAGCCTTAACGCTGTCTTCTGACGCGACATCGAGCTTCAGGGTGAGGACCGTCGGTTCGGTCTTGCGACCGGCTTTTTTCGCTGCTTCTTTAATTTCGGTCACTAAACTTGACAAGTCCGACCGAGCCCCGATAATGATTCCGGAGGCGCCGGCCTTAGCATAGCTAAGTGCTGTCTCCCTCCCAACGCCCTTGGAAGCTCCAGTGATGAAGACCGATTTTCCACTGAGATCTAATTTCTTTGGGGCGATATACTCGTACGTATCAGCGTGGTTTGTGTTGATGAATGAGGCAACTGCCGCTGCATTTGCTGCTGGTGTCGCCATGGTGATGATATTTAATAATATCGCGCTCGGATTTCGAATATGCAGGATAGCAGAGTCTGTCTAGAACATACTGAAGCAGAATGGTTCGTACCGGACTTTATAGTAAGCGATGGATTAGATATCGGTACAGTAGAACGACACACTATAGCACACTGCCTAGCCACTACTACATAACTACTCCACCGTTCCTTCAACGGCAGAAAGGATATATTACATCCTAGACACTATAGCGTGCTATGCGGGAGATACCGGTGCTAGTCGGGTTTGCAATAGCTAAGGTTTCGTGTCTAAATGCCCTCCGAAGAGGAAACCCGGGTATAAGAAACCGGGTTTAAGTCCAACTGACTAATGTTAATTCCAATTACATAGGGCCATCCATACACCTATATCCGCAGGAATATTGACATCTCTAGGTACAATTTCATGGCATTTATAAGCCAAGCCTATTGCAAAGGGGGTTTTACGCTACATCTACGTATAGATAATGGATGGTATTAAGTTCAGCTTGGAACTACCCCGGCGAATAATGTCCGACTCGGACTTTATATGCGGCTATACGGACTATATATTGCTATGTCCGCCGCCCTCCCTCTTCAGATTTTAGATAGCACAGAACGGTCATACGTCACCTATACGATTCGGTGGATTATAATGTGGGTAAAGGAAGATGCTGTTTGCGAGCTGTTGCATTGGCCTAGAACTTAGGACCGAGACACGATATCCATTAGGTTAGCTCTCTTCGCAACTACTTGCTAGCCGAGTGGCTTATAGCAATATTAAGCACAGTCTTATCGTAGGTACTTTGCGGGGATTTACTGCTATTGTAATGTACTAACACCGGGCCTTGAATTTACCATACCACCCGTATCATACCCTCCATATTCGCTTTTCGTCCACTAACCTCTGTCCCTTTTTCTTCTTGTCAGGTACACTCCGAGTATCGGTGAGGTTGTGATATTAGATACATAGTATTACATCAGCACCGAAATAGAAAGAAATGCCGCTCGAGGTTCACAACATCGAATGTCAAAGCTTCGGTACCACAATCAGTACATATTCCTACGGAGATTCTTGGACGCCGAGAAAGGTGGCTGAGATATTAGAAGCAGCTTGCATACATGAATGCGTAATCAGGTAACTATCTAATATTTAGTGATTAAAAATATACGGCGTGACAGTTCGAGGCCGAATATGATGATATTGAAATTACCTGTTATTTAAATGCTTTAAATATCTCAACGGTGAATATGTCCGGACATACAGTTTTGCCGTTAATGAAGGAGGATGGCCCGAGATAGTTCCGCAGATTTTCTTCGGGTGGGTTTCCGCCCTAGGTACGAGGTCCGTTCTAAACGTTATTTGAAGTTCCAAAGTAGTTCATATAGAAGGATAATGGTATCAAAGTATTCTCAGCAGCATACCATTATTTTCGTTTACAAAGTAAATGAAGTGAAATTAAATAGAGACGACGCAGTATCTAGGCCGTAGCAACATTCAAAGGCCATGGTTATAAACACTCTTGTTTTGAATTTGTTTAACGACACTTGATAGAAGATGTAATATATACCTTAGGTATATATATATATATATATATCTTAACGAACGAACAATCTGCAGATGCATGTTCCGGATAACTTCTCCATAAGAACGCCACGACATGTCACCAGCCGACAACGGCGACCAAGAAATCGTCATGCCCGCACGAAACGTACCTACCCGCCGCTACTTAACAAGCCACCTGTATGCACGACAAAAAGCCTCGTCGACGCGCAAGTATATAATCTGTTTCCAGGCTGTCTAAGAATGACATCTGCGGAGAGGCGGCGGAGGCTTTTACTAGGGATGATGTTTCATCTTAATTTCTCTGAATTTATTGCCTTCTATGCTGCACCTTCAGCTGGCTGGCTGGCTTCGAGGACTTTAGTGCCATGGCCTTATATAGTATGGATATAATCGTTGCCTGTGAGTGTTGTGTGGTTGTTGTCTCTTACTGGTCGCAGCAATATGTCGTCTACTTTCGATATACATCGTTCATCATCCGAGATCGAGTGATCGACTAATACGTGATAGGTCTTGGTGAACCACTAAAGAAGGGAGATACGCCACAACTCTGTAGATGATGTCTCGTTTCGGTTTATATGTCCGATAAGTTCGGGAGGCTGTATGTCCCAAACAGTTATACATAAACTTAAAACCCGAGTTACTAGGTGCTTAAAACACCAACACTGGTAAATATGGACGTGCCCAAGTAGAATTAGGTATTTTCAGTGGGAATAAGTATTGTTGAGTTGGATGACGGAATTAATTTAGCTATACAACTGAGAATATATCTCGTGACTGGTGGTGGTCTCGTCTAAATTGCTCGCACTGGAAGGCTTAATTGTCCGTGGTGGCCCCGGAAAGGTGAAGACAAAAAAGCAAAGGGGTATCGTTATATACAGGACCGAATGTACCTAGAGCGCCGGATGGTAAACATGGCCATCCAGACTCGCCTTCCACCGCGGTCCGTCCTTCCGCATCCCCGTCTCCTCCTAGAGGTACTTATAGAAGGGTAATATAGACATCTGCTTTGTAATAGGTACACCATTATTCATGCATATGTATATATATATCGTTCAAACTCCCCCATCATGTTAAATTAAGTCGGTTGGTTATTGGCGATTAAGTAGCGTTTCTGAACTTTGAGAAAATTTGGTAGGAAGGCCAGGCTAATGGTGGCTTAGGAGAACTGGCTTCGATCCTTCTCCTTCAGTCCACCGATTTGATCCATATCGATCGAGTAGAAACCGGCGCTGTTCTCTTTGGAATATGCTGGCAGTTGCTCCTCCTTTACAGGCTCAAGGCCAACAGTGGTCTCGCCGACTCGGACAACCACAACGCGGCCACCCTTGTTGCGACCTTGCTCATCCTGCTCATCGGGGAAGGTGATGTGAATCTCGGGAATGTTGTTGGGCGAGTAGGGTGGCGAACTCGGGTCATTTAGCATTGGACGGCCATTCAGAACAAAAATACTTGATCGGCCGTCTGCGGTCTGGATGGTGAGACGGCGAGTAGTACCGTCATCATGTTTGATGTCGTTATACTGGGGTAGGCCATCTTGCTGGAGCTGTCGCTCGCGCTTCGCACGCCGCATCATGAATAACAAGGCTACCAGAACAAGAGCAAAGAATGCGACGCCAAGAAAGGCAATCATAAGGTCGATGACCCCGTCCGGCTCGCCTCCCATATCAAGGTCCCGCCTGGAAAGGACAGCATTGCCACGGGCAATAAGGTTGCTGAAAGTAGACATATTGACAATAATTGCTAATCTGACGATAAGAGTTATTGTCGTTGTTTAATGCCGGGTGTCAAGGGATTATGTCGGTCCAGTTGAATAATCAATGAATGGCTCGGCTATATTGAGACATGAGTTAGATATTTGACTCAATACGGTATAGAATAGAGAAACCCAGATAGCAGACGAATGGATATGACCATCTTGCCTCCTAGATTGGTTCAAGACATGGATGAACATACGTAAGGGAGAGAGTAAAGGTCTCAAGACTTCGGAAGGCTTCGGAAAACTCCAGAAGAAAAAAAGACTGGACGGAATCAACCCAAAAAAAGAGTGAAGCTGAAACCAAATAATGAGTGAATGAGAGGGAGGGGCTCAAAGCCAAAGGAGTGGACTCTCTGAACCGACAGAGCAACGACAGGACGGCAACGACAACGACGACGAAGATCGTGAAGGGAAAGGAAAGAAAGGGAGGGGACACGGAGAGTTGAAGAGGATGAGCGAGATCAACAGATTGTGGAGCTCAGGTTTAGGAGAGCCATGAAAAATGATTGGCCCTAGACGAATCTTATTAGCAAGGGGGGACGGATCCGTAGTTGCTATCATTCACACGTTGCGGGAAGGGGCTCGACAGGCACAGGCTTCTGATTCGATGCATCCATCGACAAGTTCCAAGCTAAACGCTGCTTAATTTCAAGATCGACCAATGATATTTAAAGCGGCTCCAGTAAAAGCGGGTAGTACAACACAAAAACGGTCAAGGCCCGATGACGCTACAAATTGTACATGGACAAACTACCTAAAACAGAACAAATCATTATCTGAAAGTGAGCTTCTAGACTTCTTTAGGAGTCTAGCCAATCACGCATACCCTTACCCCCTCTAAGCTCCCTACACTAGTAGCAAGTAAATGGATTAAGTGGGTTCCCACATATTTCAACACTTCAATGCAACACCCACAATTCACCCACAGTGGAAAGATTACTACATATGCAGATATTCAAGCAGTACCTATTTAAGGACGTTTAATGGTTGGGATCAATTCCGTCCCCAGGTAATTGCAGGAATGTTTAAACTTCATGCAGATCTAATGTACTTTGTATGCATGTACCAAGCTTTAAGAAACAAAGCTATCGATAAGCCAGCTTGAATCCTAATAGTATGTAAGATAGGTGGATTAACAAACTGCAGCGAATCAGCTTGCCTCATTCTATTCTTAGTTTCAAGTTAGAGATATATGAAGAGGAGCTACCCTGCATGGCACAAGCCTCTACGTCGGATAACCACCTACCTATCTGCCTACCTGACACTCGATGTTGAGTATATTTACTATATTTACTCACAGATATACTCACAAATAGCAACTCGGCCCGTTCAAACAAGAGCCATGTACGAAAGGATTAAGTAACGTAGGAAAAAAAATTACTCACGGGACCACCTCTTAGTCTTAATCAAGTAAATCAAGTTCAACCACACATACAAAATGGGTTGCGTATGCACTAGTGCAGAAGGTCCTAAGGTCCCAAGGTCCCAAGAGTATCACAGCCAGAACTTGTCATCATTGATAGTCGGTTTGAGTTCCCTCACTCGACTCAGTATGTTCCGTTGTCTGCCATACACAAGCTTACCGTATCCAGGATAATTTCGACGGAGAATGACACTCTCAAGGTGGCAAGGCTGACATCAACTACGAGTCCTCTTGCATACCTAGCTTCACCATTGAACATCTACTAACATATACATCGGCGATGTCAGTATGCGCATCTGTCTGTATAATTCAGAACGCTCCCAACATCCCCCGCAATGCGCAATGGCGCCGGTGCTTGATTGCAGCTAAGACATGGCAGAGGTCGTGCCGAACGATGTACCCGGTGCCATATTTTGTGTTGGGCCGGTATTTGCCCGTCTGATTTGCCCGTCTGTGGCAATCTCCTAGCCTAGAAGTCCAAGCATGCAATCTGTGGGTTGTTGGATCGTCCTTGGGTATTCATCACTACGAAGCCTTTTTTTGTGTTACTAGGGGACCTGCTCGATAATCAGGTTTGCTAGTCAACTAGACAATCTTCTCTGTCAAGTTCTTCGTCGGCCCGGAGAGCAGCTCTGTGCATAAACCAGGCCACCCCACGTCAAATGTCTCACAGAGATCGGCTGGAGACGCCTTCTCTATGGCTCGAAAGCCTGCAACTATCCGTGGAAGGGGTCCTACGGTCTGCGCTTGTGCAATACGTTTCATTGCTAGGCGCGCGTCGGCGTGTCGGATACACGAAAATCGTAAGCAACAAACAAGAGCCCAAGGTTGCCGGTATGAAGCCGCTGCAGGACTCACGCCTCGGATCTTCGATCGGGAAGCCACATTCAAATCAACCACAATTATATCTTGCTACAAGTGACTATATCCTACCCCACATCTACTTACTGTGATATAGGCTGTGAATAAACAGGGTAAGGCGGTTATAAACGCCGTCGCTATAGTGTAGCGTCGAATAATTCGACGAGTAGTTTTAGGGGCGCGTATATTATTACTCATCCTAGCATACTGGCATACCTCAGACAGCCTTACTCCTATTACTCCTACTACTAGGACATCACTGCCCTAAGTCCTCACTACCTAACTATTAGAGAGGGATGGACTAGACACGTATGACTTTGAATCGTGGGACTTGTGTTACACTAAAAGGGAACGTAAGGCAAAATCGTCAGGCTCTCACTATTGTCAATAATCGACACTACGACTCCAGTAGACTTGCTCCCTCCTCTAATAGGGGACGGCGAGCCAACGAATTTGTTCGTCGAGGCGAGTGTTCGCTGCGGTGTGACTGTTTAAGAGTGACAATGAAGTCGACAAGAGTTCGTCATGCCGAAACTAACGGGGAGCACGGTGTCACGGGGAGGCGGACGAAGGATCACTTAGGTGAGGTGAGACCGCGACACGTCGTTCCATAACGGGAGATTGGCATCGGGCTACATTCCCCAAGATAGTCATCTTCATTCCTGCGACATATGGCGAAGATTACGACATTCCTAAGTCACCGGCGGCCGGCTAGGTGGGGTCTGAAACTGGCATCCCTTTGCTCTACCTCTACGGTTGCGTGGCAGAGGGAGGAGGACATCATATGGACGTCTTAGGGCGGCGAAACTACAAGGCAGAGCGAATGGCGCACATACCAAAAGTTTGATTTATCGTAGTTTTCGCCGTGTTGTTTTTGCATTGTATACATATAGATATTTCGAGAATGCATATACGGGTAGCGAGTAAAGAAGAGCACCTGCTTACCTAGGTAGGTAGGCTTTGCCAACGAGCCTCCCAATAAGTCAGGCTGTAAGTTATTAGTTACGTGATATCTTCAGCGAGTTCCTGGCCTTGCTGCGAGGATCGTGCGGTAGGGCACCGGTTAATGCTACTACGACGCATGATTCGAAGAGAATGCCGTTCTCCCAGACTGTTGGGCTCGTGAAGTCGGTCCAATTGGGTGGACAACAAGCAAGCGGTTGTCTCCAAGACATGTAGGAGAGCCACATAAGTGATCTGCCCCGTACATCCGCAGTCGCCCCTGTACCACCAGCTTTTATTATACATGCTTTGCTGGTAACTGCGGCAATAGTGTATCTTGGCCATAGCAACTAGGACCTGATAGGACTTGGTAGATAGAATATTAGTATCGTGGGCCGTCTGCCCATCTCCCCTTCCCCCCCAATCCTCCCTTCAAGTTGAATATATCACTTTTTGTTTCCTTCGCCCTTGGCCAGTCGAAGTCATTAATTCGCAAAAGGGAGCGCGGCTCGAGGACGGTAACGCTCAAGTGTCGATAAAAGGATATTTCGCATCGTATAAAACAACTGCCCGTTCCTTATAGCTCTTTGTCCCTGTTGATTTGTGCCTTTCATCCTGCACGACTACTTTCTGTTGTATCAAATTCGAGGCCATATCAATGTAAAACAAGTCGAGGACATATACCAAAAACATCGACAGCCCCCAAACGCACATATCGGACGGCGCAGCAATAAAGACTCTGCATGTTACTATTCGCATATACATAAACGCTACCTCTTATATATTAACGTTACGACACCACGGACTTTGAGGGTATTTCGATAGCCAGTAGTAGGCTAACGCCACCACCAACGGCCCCCAATTCTTGATTTCAGAGGTTGCAGACATTGTTCGTAACCCGGCAACTGATATATTACGCATTGGCATTCTTACATTCAACCACGATATAGAACGGTGGAAACAAACGGGCAGCTTACTCATTTAATATACTCGCTGCAGAGCTTAGAAGTTGTCTGTGGTAGCTCCAAAAATACCACAATACTACATTTCCACAATTCGGTCGAGACGGAGCAACAACTGCCTATCATATTCAACCTGGAATCTCGTCGAGAAAGGAACATCCCGCCATCAACTTGAACGAATCAAGTCCTAGTTTTCCAACCAAGTATACCGCGCAACACTTAGTATATTCCGACTTGGTGGACAAGCACCCGCCCATACCTTGTCAAAAAAAAAGACCCTGGTATTTTAAACGGGGAAAAGCTATTGTTTTAACCAGTTTGCATCTCTCGTCGAATAATATAAGAGTGCTAAGTTGGGTTAAGTGGTTTTAAGTGGTGGGTGTCGCGCGACCATCGGGAGAATCATCTTGGAGACCACGCCACTAAAAGATACTTAGTGTACCTTAGGTACCTTACCTTGGAAGTAGGTATCGTACCTAACCTTAACTACATATAGGTACCTACCCAGGTAGAGAAGGACACGGCAAGAAGACGGGAACGGGAGTCCCATTCAAGGACCCATCGCCCCATCTGCACCATCTGCACCATCTGCACCCGCGCCTCACAGATTCGCACCTGCATTTTTGGCCCTTCGAAAACCGAAAACCCGAAGAAGAAAAAAAAGAGAATTTTAACTTGGGTCCAAGCTTTTGCTCTATTGGTGAAAAGGGAAAGAGTTGAGCTTAGGTACCAAGGCAGGCAAGGCAGGCAAGGCAGGCAAGGCAAAGCAAAGCTAAGCTAAGCAAAGCAATTACAGAACTTAAGACACCTGCACTTACACCAACTCCGCGGAGCTCCCTCAGCTTGTCTTACAAGTTTGATATTGAAGTTTAGCTTCTTCATCGATCTGACCCATTTCTTTCCCCTCTGCCCGTTCTCCCTAAGCTGGCGCCAGCTCTCTTCCTCCTTGTAACAGGTTAGGTACTAACTACATACAAGAGAGAAGCTGGGTTAACTGCTCATTACCTGCAGCCCGCAAATGCT